TGCCGGCTGGGGTTAAACCACGACATTGCCTCCCAGGCTGACCGTGTAGTTGGCAACACAACAAAGGAGGGACTCGAGTCATTTCAAGAGGGGGAAAAGCAGCGACCGTCTGGACTTTTATCAGAGAATTTTTCCAGGAGCTAGAGGGACAGCCAGAGAGCCAGCACGGGACTGTTTGAGTTGAGAGCCTTGCTAGTAGTGTTAAAGACAGAGGGTGTCAACAGAGTAAAAGCATTTTGACTTGAGATCAGTTGCACCCCCAGTTCAGCCCTTTCTGCAGGGAACCCATAAGAGGTTGTCGCCCTCTCCTGTGTGGGAGCTGCTCCTGACTTTGTTCCCTTCAGTTCTGCGGATGTGTGTGATGGATGTCGGGTGGTTCTTACAGGCGTGAAGGTTTTTAACGTGAGTCAGGAAGGTTACCTTCTCTTCAGTTCTTTGCAATGTCTTCGAAACTGTCTGTTTGGGGACCTTTTTTTTTGGATCGATTTTACAAATCACTGCTCTGGTACATGAAATACATTGTTACTATTAGAAAAATAAAATTGCCAGTTGCTTTTAGAGAATGGTCAAACAGGTCAATTAGTTACTGGTCGGAAAGTTTTCTGAGATGTTGATTTTTAGGAGTTTATTAAACTGGAAGACTGTTCTGGTTTGATAGTGACAAACCAAATCTCTTATTTGGTAAATTTGGGGGATTATCTCTGAGGTTATCATGTTCTTTCTAAGCATTCAACAAATTGTACTGGGATAATTACCCCGTATAGACTTGAATGTGGTATTTTAATTTCATTATAGAAACAACAATCCATTTTTTTCATTAATATATCTTATAACAGGCAGTTTATTTTCTTGTGAGAAGCTGTCAGTTACATTGTAGCTACTAATGTATAAGAGATTAGTTCTTTATTTTGTTCAGGGAGACAATCTTTTCCGTGGCACCAGATACAGTATTAGAGGATCAGAGTATAATAAATGCAATTTGTACTAAGAACTTCAATTTAGTAGCCTTTATACATGTGAAGACAGATCCATTTGTTAAATTTGCCCTTTTCTATAGCAGCATCTCCAATATTTCTCCTGTTTGTGGTCTTAATGCTTACGTTGGTATTATTTCATCTGGACAGACTGACATCTTAATAGACTCCTTTTGCTTTGAATTGATGTGTTTGATCCTGCAGCTCCAGTCAAAGCCCATTCCTCTAGAGTAATTTCTTTCTTAATGCATCATTTTCACACCACAAAAAATTGCCACGAATAATGCAAATTAAATGTAACGTACTTCTGTCTTCATTGTTGAGTCTAGAAGCTGATGACATTGTTTTGTTTTGTTGGTTGTGTTTTTTTTTTTCCTCTCTTCTCCAGGTAGGTAGGTTCTTTGTGGTGTTGAAAAACGTCAGTCTTGGTTGCTGAAAATTCTGTTGGTTGGTTTTTGATGTCGGTGGCCTGGGTTCTAAAGAGTTGGGACGTTCCTTAGAGTACCAAGTTGTCTAATGGTGACTATGTCCTCTGCCTTTGAAGGGTGTCTCATTCATTGCCTTTGGTATATTGTATGGTGTGATGTTACCTTTAGGTGTCTTTGACGATAAACAAATTTTGTTTCCTCTGAAGTACACGTACAAATTTCTGGCGGAGGTTATTATCAATTCTGGGTAACCGCATGCAGTTTTACTTTTGTATTGAATGAAAACCAGTATTGATCTGGGTGAGAGTGTCCCAGGCTGCCGCAGGCTTCAGATGACGGCTTTACTGATGCGCAGCAGTTCCTCCCTGATAAGAGGTTGAGAACTGTGTTTCTTACAGATCCCACTTAAGCCCAGTGACTCTACTAGCAAGCTCCACGTGTCTTTTTTCTGTGGTGATTTGAAGGAGACTTTCAAACTTGTTATAATTTCCCTCAGTACTCTACAGCACTGTGAATTTGTGGGAACAATAATTTCATTTTTCTGCTTTACTTACTCTTTGGGATACCACAGGTAATGGACAGAATTTGGAGCACATTCGTATCTACTTTATGGACAAGAAAAAGTTTTAGAATCTTTGTAGCTTGGGGTTTAGTGGGTTAAAAGTGGTTGTTTTCATCAGATTAAGGTTTCATTATATCATTTTATGGAAATATTTGCACGCAATACTCTTAATCATGTGGAAAAGATCCTTGGAAGTGTTGCTGTCAGTTTTACTCTATTAATAGAGTTATTTCTTACCCTCTTGGCAAGGAGTTGTGCCTCTAGTCCTGTGTATGTGAGGGAGCACAGAGACAGCCATGGGGCTTGCACTGTTAGGTTGTGTCCGATTTTTGACAAACTGCAGATCACTTCCTTTGGTTTTAAATTGGGTGTCTAGAGCCTTGTGTTGCCTTGTTCTAAATGCACTAAATCACACCGTTGTTAAAATAGTAATTCAGTAAGAACTCCACAGAAACACCACTTATAACAAATATAGATTGGTATTTTTATAGAATAGCACCAATATAATACTCCCTGAAGTCTCCTCAGTGGTGACTCATAAAAATTGACACCCGCCTCCCCTCATTGGGACTGCGAATGAATCCAGAGACTCAGTGAATGCTAATGCTTGTGGGTCCTTAATGAAGCCAGCACAATCAAAGATGGAGGGAACTGATCGTGTCAGCTGCCAACAGGGAGGTGGCATTTTTGTTACATGTAAAGCTCCATGTGAAGTGCATCACTGTTGAGTTAAGCAGAGTAACGGTAAAGATTTTTTTAAACACAGCCATTAAACTGAAGAAGCTGAAAGCAGATATGTTTTCCCCACCTGTGAATCTCTGCTTGTTTGGTGACGGGGGAAATAAGTATGGAAAGGTTCCCTACGGTTACGTGTATTCAAAATCACAAGTGCACAATGTGGGCAGGGAAAGAATGTGCAGCTCCTGAACTTTGTGTGCACAGTAGATCCAGGGATGTGACAGGAAACCTTGCTCTGCCGTTGGGAGAAACCATTGTTTCCAAGTCCAGCTGTAAGGACTGGAACTGCTGGCTAAGCAGGCTCTTCTGCTTCTGCCGCTCCACACTTGTTCTGCCAAATCGTTTTCCCCATGGTGGAACTGCGCCCCAGCACAGTGTCCCACGTGCCTCCGGTGCCCCCGCAGACTGCCGTTTGGGCGTTTGCCTGCCTCCCGCGTTCCCTGCTCGGGCTCCGCAGGGGTAACGGTAGGCTCTTGCAGTCAAAGAGGAGAAATAGTATTTCCAGGAGATGGGTTTGTAAGCAGAGATGTCTCCTTCAGGAAGAGATCCGTCAGGCTTTTGTCCTCCTGGTGCGCGAGGGCTCGGTGGCCTGAGGCACAACCTGCTGAGATGAAGAGGACTGTTTCGTTTCCCCGTATTTGAGAAGCAGTTTCCGTGAAGTCTTTGAGAGGTGGAATTGTTTACCTGAGTTTTTGATCTTGGTGTTGGTCTGATCTGTAAATATTGTTGCTCACACTTAACTTATTTTCTGCAGTGACCGTTTGGTTCCTGAGCTGGATACAGTTGTCCCGATGGAATCTACAAAAGCCTACGATATGCTGGATATCATTCACTCCGTAAGTCTGCTCGTGTGAGCACTGTTGCGATTAATATGGATCTATTATAGTCTGTGTGTAAATAATTGAAAGAAACCAATAGAATGGCACTGAAGAGATACATATATGTATTTATTTTTTTAGTCTTCACACATTACTGTTTTTACCTGTGTAGTAACCATGAATGAAGGGACAGCAAAAACTGCAGAAAAAAAAGATTTTAACCGTTGAAAGGAATCCTAAAATTTCTTTTCAGGATACATCATCTTATGCTGCCTGCATAACTGTACGGATGAAAGATGCTGTAATCCGGTTTTCTCTTTAGGGTCAAAATCCTCTCCCCTCTTGTCTTGAGTTCTATCCCTTGCCCCCCTCCCTGTATCTTGTTGCAACTGTCTTGAATTCTGTCACTTTTTTATAAAAAAGGTAATAAGCTACATAGAGTGCATTCAAAGATTTACCCTACTCTCTTTATTCTAAGAGACAGTTACGTACACTGACAGTATGAGAAATTTTTTTTTAATTACAAGTCAAGCACTCAGAAGCTTGGAAACTCCAATGTTAAAGTTTCATTAAGTGAGGCAGATCTCCTGGGAGGGTGATGGGGAAGGAAACATCTTACTGTTTTTTAAAAAACCTCAAAGCCAGTATAAATAATGGAGGTTTTATTAAAGCAGCATAGGCAGTGCTGGTAATTCTCTTGCCTAACTTAGAGTACTTCATTTTTCCAGTTTTGACAACATAATACATTATAAATGCTCGGGCAGAGAACAGGGTTGTAAAAGAAGTTTTATCACATGAAATTCTTACAGCTCCCTGTAGAGCAGCCTGAGAGTCCGAATTTTGAATATTAAAACTTCCAGCTGCTGCTTCTGCCGCTGAGATGTTGAATGGCAGATGACCCAGGGCTCTGAGGTAGATGATGAAGCTAGGTATAACGCCATTTCACAGGCAGCACGTACAAAGGGGGGTAGTTCAGCTGTGTCTGTAGGACCTTTACAGATTTCTCCCTTTTGCTGTTTTGTCTGTCTCTCCCCACACGCGCATTCAGTGAACATGCTTCAGTTTGCAACTGGCTGCATTTGGACTCATTTTAGTGGAGAAAGCAAGCTCAGGATGTTTTTAATCTCTGGACTTTTCCATTCTGAACTTCAGTACTACCTGTTCCATGTTAAAAGGTGGCATTTAAAAAAATTCTGAAGTGAATTAGGAAAAAAAACACCAGCCCTCCCACAGACTTTTGAGAAGTATTAAGGAAAGAAATAAAACTACTTTAGTAATACTTAGATTTTTCGCAACTTTTCATTTGCCTCAGTCTCAAAAATGACTGCAGTCTGTATAGGCAAAGTTGTCATCAGCAGCTGAAAACAAGGAATTCCAGCAGAAAACACCAGACACCCATGTATAGGTGTCGCTACTGCTCCATGTATAATTACCATCGCTTTTGAACATGTGAATTTTGATACTGCTGTGTACACCAGTGGATGTCACTTTGTAAAGCGCACACTGGAACTTCAACCCCGGAGAGAACCGCAGCTACCAAGGATTCGTGGTCCCAGGCAGCTGTGCTGAATGTAGTGCGCGTATGCCTCTGCGGCTGCCAACGGCGTTTCTCCATGCTCCGCCGTACTCACCGGCGGCAGCTTTGGGGGAAGACGTACACAGCAGAGCGTGCTCTCTTGGCCTCTCTTAATAAAGTGCTCTCAACTTGCAAAGAAATAGAGTGGTTTCTGAGCTCCATGAAGTACTATTTGCTTTTTATTGCTGGAAATTGTTCTTTAAAAGTGTTGTATGCCAATAGTTAAGCCGCGAGAAAGGAGTTCTTAACATGTGATTTGAAGTTTTAATTTGTTACAAGCTAGGAAAAAAGGCTCACTACAGAGGAAATGTCCTAAAGATGTTCTCTGGTGGAGTGCTTCAGTGGCAGTTTGGATAGTAAGCGCAGCACTAGTTAATTCCTGGAATGAAGGCTGCAAAGAAGACTAAAAGGTTTCTTTCTCTGCCGCCACCCCCCCACCCTCCCCATCCCGCTTTTTTTTTTTTTAATTCTGCAATTTTTGGAAAGTTCTGATGCTAACGTAACTGATTTTGTGTTTGCCTGTGTATATAAATATGCATAGATATCTCTGTGCTCATTGGGGCTCTGCCGAACTCTCACCCTTGCAGATTGCTGATGAAAGAGAATTCTTCGAGATCATGCCTTCCTATGCCAGAAACATCGTCGTTGGCTTTGCCAGGATGAACGGACGAACTGTTGGGATAGTGGGCAACCAACCCAAAGTAGCATCAGGTTGGCCTTGGCTCTACCAGTCCAGTGGGAAACTTTTTAAAAGTGTTTGTGCCTCCTCTCTGTTCTGTCTTTTTTTGCATCTAGCTACGAGATGAACTGTTTGTGTTTTCTGTGGTCCTCCACTCATTCTCAGTTTTTCTACCACTTTCTTGGTCTTGAATCTCATTGTCGTGCAGCTGTGAGTTGTAAAACTAACTGAAAAACAGGTAACTTCTTTAGTGGATCAGCAAGGTGATCTTGCTCACAGGTCATTAAATGCCTGCTGTATCCAGTACAAGAGGAGTGGTAGGAGCACACATAAAACAAGGTGGGTAAAAGATCACCACTTACTTGGCAGCAGCTGGCAATTAACTGGATTAAACCTACGGTGGAAACTGCATACATAGTTCCACAGCATTAAAATGCCTACAACTCTTCGATAGGGTGAGGTAACTTTCTTTTTTTGCTCAATTTGCTATAGCTAGAACAATGCAAAGCTTTCACATGTACAAGTGCAGGGCTCTTGACCTCAAATAATGTAGATGTGAAGGTACAACGTGTTGCTCTAGCTAAGATCACCCCTCTTAACTGTCGAGGGACTTTGCTTTCTCTCCTTACCTCGGTTATTTCTGAAGTGGTTTTCACCAATCGGAATTTTCTGGTTTACTCCTTGTTTTTAATTTTTGTGCCCTTTTGTTTGGGAAAATCAGATGACCCAGTATGATGTTTTATTCTGTTGTAATCTTTACAAGATGTGTTTCAGAGATGCTTTTATACAAAATGTGTTTTGGTTTGATATAATAGTACATAATATAATTCTAAACAGCACTGAAACAGAACAGAAATACTTTGCAGCATGTTTACCAAAAATGCTGATCTTTCTCAAAATAGTAGTGGACCATTTAATGGTTGTGTGTGGTGGTTTGTTTTTTGTGGTGTTTTGTTTTGTGTTTTTTTTTTTTTAAATGGAGAACTCCGAAGCCTTTCAATACAGCTGATTTGAAAAATAAAAAAAGAGAAAATTACAGGAAAATATTTTGAAATAAAAAAAATAAACTGCTGCTTTTTTGGGATAGAAAGTCTTTATGCACAGAGGTCAGAAAAATGAAATGAGTACCTGTTGAACGTAGCTTGTACTCTAATCTTGGTTCTAAACCAGCAAAACTTCATGGCAGATTATCTCCACCTTATCCACAGATAAGCTTTTGTTTTAGAAGGACAATGCAGCTAAAATGGAGTGTGATTATTTTTTTTTTTTTTTAGTTGTCTTGAATTACTGCTGTTAGCAGATCATTGGAGTTGTTAACACTGTCCGATCTTTTCTTAACTTTAGGGTGCTTAGACATAAATTCATCTGTAAAAGGAGCCCGCTTTGTTCGTTTCTGTGATGCTTTCAACATACCACTGATCACGTTTGTGGATGTTCCTGGATTTTTGCCAGGTATGTCTTACCATTACATTTCAGTTCGTTCCAGGGGTGGTGTTGGTGTCAAAAAAACTCATTTTAAAAACTCTGAGAAGACCTTTACTGTAGTAGGCTTAAGCCAGGTCTTAAAAATCTCACTTTTTGGGACAGAAACTCTGTATTCTAAGTACAGTAGTCATCACAAAAGGATATTGAAATACTTCAGAAATTGCAGGAAAACGAAGGAAGTGCCTAACTGTGCCACTAATAACTGCTCTCAGTGTGCTGTGAGATCACAAAGCTTTGCTAGATGGATTTACCTGAGGAGAGGGTCAGTTTGTGCAGTAAGTTAATGCTGAAATATTTAGCAGTCTGCTGGAGGCACTGGGATGACCAGTTTGCCAGGGCCAAGTGTGGGCATACCACGCTCTGGAAAGCTATGTCCTATTGTCTGGAATTCCAGCACAATCGCAAAGCTGTGATCGTCGCCTGTTCAAGAAACAAACCCCTTGCATTCCCTGGAGATGCTGCCCTTGTCACAAACGGTATGGAAGTGACACCGTTTTCTTTATTATCATGAGACTCCATGTCCCTTCAAATGCTCAGCTGTTTATTTAGCTGCTGTTTTATTCATATGCCTGTGTGCTGGAGAGCCAGGTACCAGAAGGCCCTGCAAAGACTTGCGGCCTCCTGCGTGGCAGTGGGAAGCAGTCCACAGGATTGCCTGGGCGCGCAGCACTGCCGATTTGCTTGTGGGCGGCGAGCCACTGGTCAGCGCAGCGCTAGGAGTGGCAGGGGAGGGCACGGTGAAGATGCGTTCCATCCCAGCCTGCTCAGCACTGCGGTTACCAAACTAGGGTAGGCCCCTGCCGCTGTCTACCTTATCCACCAGCTTCGGTGACTGTACTTAATGCCCAAGCGTGTAAAAGGATGAACCCACAGGGGGAAGAAAAGTTATGTCCTTGGCTGCCATTGATTCAGTTGTACGCAACGCCCCTCTATGTATCTCTGGAAGCCCAGGTTCTTCCATGCTGCAAAGTGTTTTTCAGAAAAAAATGCCCGTGATTTAGAAGCTTTAAGTAAATCAGTAAGGAAAGGTCTGAGATTAGACTTGTTTCAGTATAGGCTATGTGAGCAGTTAATGTTAAAGTGACCTGTTAGAAAACGGGTTTTGAGGGGACTACAAATGTTATACTGATAAACATGCCAAGTCTTTCATACAATTGAATGTAAGGTTAACACTGTTGTATAAACCAACATTTACCCTCAGGCCTCTACGTCTGTGAAAGCATCAAGATGTCACTAGTCAACATTCCAGTTCTTATTTTAATACAATGTACATGGCATGTTTTACCAAGGAGGCAATACAGAAGGCATTAACAGAACCTTCCTCTTCCTCTTGCCCTCTCTCCTTTCTCTCCTGCTGTAGACACGCCCTCCTCCTCCAAGCTGGACCAAGCAGCAGCTTCGTTCACTTATTCCGGGGCCACCACAGGAATCTAGATTTGGACAGTTGCTCAGAATCCAAGAACAAAGCAATTTCTATATAGCTAATTAAAAATAGTAACTTAATACTGCATTATAGAATGTTGGTTTGAAAGTGGATAAAGGGAAGATAGATGAAAGTTGAAGAGAGGAGATCTGAGGCTCGATAGTGATCCTAAACTGTTGTATTTTAAGGAGTTTGGCAAGATTAGTACGTTAGCGTTAGACAGTTCAGATTAAATAACGAATTCTGAGGGTGGTGGTCACGTGATCTCCCCATTCAGTACAGAAGAAGAAATAATCTGTCACATCGGCTCACAGAGGTGTACAAAACATCTCACAGTGTTAGGGACCCAAACATTTTAATAGCCCCCAATTTAATAGGTGTGCACAGAGATGACTTTTATAGCTGGATAAAACCCTACGTTTAGAACAAGTTTGGGACTGAATCTGTGGCCAGAAAAGAGTTTCTGTTAATTGGCCATGGGTGACAGTGTAAATGGTTCAAATAACACGCTTCAAGTATAAGGTCATTCAATTGTTAAGTGACTGGCTATTCTGTTCTAAGTGTGAGTTGGAAACCGAGGCTGCGACTCGATTACAGGGTCTGCGAGTGCTGCCCAGCTTCTGGGTGTGGGCTGCGCATCCCCGCTGCGCTGCGTTCAGGCTGCTCCTTGGGAGGTTCTGCGGGCTTGACGAGTCCCATGGCTGGAGGGAGATACAAGAGCCAAAAGTGAAACTGCAGTTGAGAACAGACATTTGTAAGTGTAGGCATAAATAGACACTCAGATTACTTTTGAGGGGAAGCATCAAAGTCAAGCTACCAAACAGACTACTGAATAAGTTATTAACAAAAAATATCAAAGGAGAATTTTTACTTAAAAATCTTGCATTAAAAAACCAAATAAAATCATCCACTAAAAAGATTCCAAAGTAGTCTACAAGGTTATCCCTCTCAGGTGCTGAAAGCAGAAGTCAGTAGGCAGGTAAACTGCTGGACAGTAACTGTAGAGTTAATCCAGTGGTCTGAAATTCAGAAAGCCTAGAAAGTACGTCCATGGGATTGCTGTTTCCAAGTCAGGTCAGCTGGGCCCGTGTGCTGACCATCCTGTAACGCGGATGACTTGTGTTCATAGTGCTGCATGTGACCATTCGCCAGAAGCACCTGCTGTGAGAATCCTTAGAGAGGAATTCATGCTCTGTCTTTTATGGTCCGTCATCTTGGGCTTGCTTGAAGGAAGACTAGGATAGGTCTTTGGTAGCCAAGCTGCCTTTCAGAATGGTCTGGAAAAAAGGGAGTTTGGAAGAGTGGGTTTCTGGAGAAGTGAATCTAGGTTGTGTTTTTTCACTGCTAGTCACAGTTGGGAGTCTTGAAAGTGATGTAACTGTGCTTTGTTCCTAGGAAGATAGCAGCTTGTGAGTGTTCTGGTTCTGTGACCTTACATACAAATATATGCTGCTTTTGGCAAGGGATTTTTCACAGAGTTGCTCAGTATCTTACGGAGAACGTTGCCTGGCATTACCTTCTCCTGGATATTGACAGGGCTCCGCTTGTTGTTAGGTTTGCTGCTGGTAATGGATGATGACAAGTGCCAAACTGCGTATGGTGTTTGTGAATTCCCTGGAGTCAAAACCATTATTGGTTGGTTGTAGGTACAGCTCAGGAGTATGGTGGAATCATACGTCACGGTGCAAAACTACTGTTTGCCTTTGCAGAAGCAACTGTGCCTAAAATCACTATCATCACCAGAAAGGTAAGTTGGCACAATCCCATGGTGTTCTTCTGGAGTTCCTGTTTGCAGTAGTAGCAATGTTAGTAACGCGACGCTTTGTCCCTCTGTCCCACCTGTGCTTTCTATTGTCGTCACATCTCTGTTTGTCCCGTCTGGCAACACCTCTTTATCTCAGGTTACAAGAGGCCACTTCTGTTCCGAGACCATTACCTCAGTTCCTTTGGTCCTTTTGTCTCCGTGCCCCTCTGAAATCATGTGTTGCTGCGCTGCGCTTTCTCCCTGGAACGCGTTCCGTCAGGTGTTTGTCCTCTGTCACCCAGCTCGTCTCACTGAGGACGTGCCATCTGTTTGCACACAGCAAATCTTTCTCTATTCTTGTCACTTCAGTCTCCTTTTCCAAAACCAGTGCTGGCTGTATCTTTCTTCTGCTGTGTCTGCTCGCATGGTTTCTCTTCTTCCATACACTTCTGCTACAGTCTATTTAATTTTCTTCCTTTCTCTTTTTCTGTAAGGTACCTGATGCCATCCTGCCATGAGCTCTGTCGACCTTCTGGGTCCTCAAGGGCTTAAGCTTTTTCCTTGCTCATCTGCCCTTCCTGCTTGTTTTTCTGATTGGCTTTTGACTTACCACAGTGAAGTGAAAAATTAACTCTACTTCCCTCTGTCCTTTTGCCTTCTCTGAATGTTACCATCCGTTGCTTCCCCAGCTTGCAGCCTTGCTGTAGTTTTCAGTAATGCTGTGGAACGGACGGTGCTGCTGGTTGCTCTGCAGTTCTGCAGTGTCTGTTCATCACTGCTGTCTGGATCACTTCCAGTACCAGAGCGGAGCACTGCAGAGGCCGAGTGCTGCGTTCCCTGCCCAGGAAATGCCAGAAGCACGCCGACTGGTTTCCTGGTGTGCATGTGCAGGGTGCAGGTTGAGGCCTGCTGTTCCAGATGATACACACTGATTCCTCTCTACCTGCCATCAAGAATGGTCTTGGTTACCAACAGCCCCCTTCCTTCCTCTTTTGTGGTTCTCGCTGAAGAGACGCCTAGTCTGAGGAGATTGTTGTAGCAAAATGGAGACGCTCAGGCTCTCTTTCAGGTAAAAGTTAGCCCCACATGCTTGTCTTTGGAATAGCAGAAGCTGCAAGAGGAGTGCAGGCTATTGCTGCGGCAAGGTCACTTCACACTAATTGATCCCTTGGTTTTTGTTCCAGGCCTATGGAGGTGCCTATGACGTGATGAGTTCAAAGCATTTAAGAGGAGATGCAAATTATGCCTGGCCTACTGCAGAGGTGGCAGTGATGGGTGCCAAGGTAAATCCAGGCTGACTCTCGCACCGGTGCGCAGCAGCCATCGACGCCTTCACAGTGCCGCAGAGGCGGCCGAGCGAGATGAAGACAAGTGGTGTTTTCTCTGACACAGCTTACCGGAAAGCACAGTTGTATACTGAGGGGCGGAAGGGGCTGGTAAAGCGGACAGCTTTCCTCCGTACAGGCTGAATCAGTCACTGACCTGTCGACTTCATCTCTCTAGGGTGCCGTCCAGATCATTTTCAGAGGAAAAGAGACAGATGCAGAGGCAGAATACGTGGATAAGTTTGCAAACCCCTTTCCTGCCGCCACGAGAGGTACGGTTATCTTGCACATTGTGTCCTCTGATTGAGTTTGCATTGCACATAGATAAATTTGTAGCTATTGAGTAAACTTTTTGCTAGTAAGTTATTTAGGCAGGACATTTGTATCCAAGTCGGAAAGGTGATGCTTAACCATAGTTTGTGCATGTGAAGGAAAAACACATCTAGACACAAAACACATCTTCAGATGGAAAGAAACCAGTGAGATGTGGGGGCTGCCCTGAAAAGCATATTTTCAATTTTGTAGATATTAGGAAAGCATCCCAAAACTCACCCTTTTCCTTAAAAGTGCAAGTGCTTTGATAATCTATTCGACAGTCCTAGACGCAGACCAGTGGCCTTAAGAAAGGGCTGGAGTCTAGTTCAGGTCAGTGATGTTCCCCAGGACTCTTTGGAGGACATGTTTCCAGTGTTTTTACTTCTGAATTTTACTTCTAGCCTTGAGGCATTAGCTGTGCTGTAGGAGGCAGTTCTGTAGCCTCTGGAGCCAGCTCTCTCTGTTTCCAGTTACGCTGGCTTACTCTGTGGATTGGTTTTGTACTTAATTTAAATCCCGTTCATAGTGCCGCAGAGCTGGGGAGACTTAGCCAAGCTGTTTTCCCCCACAAGCAGCACGTACAGCATCGCTCCCTCTGGTTTGGCAGTAGCCTCTCTATTACTGCTCTTTGAGCCAGGAAAAAAACCAGAGCCCTGCAAGCACAAAGTCAAGGGCTGTCTCTTGTAATCGACACTGCTCAACCTTTTGGTCAGACTAACGGTACTAAGACAGAAGGAGATGGTATGTCTAAGGCTTGGCAGGAACAGGTGCGGCACTCGGTGAGTAAAGCCCTCTCCTGAACATTTTTTGGCTTGCTAACTTTTGCGAAAATTAAAAAAAGCAAATGTTTCTAATTCAAAAAACTATTGACACCAGCAATATTTCCCCTCCAGGCTATTTTTAAATTATTCTCTTGAGTTAATTGGTAACTTGTGAACTGTTTATTCCAAATACTGTTTTGGTTTTGCTAACTTACATTACAGCCTAGATGCAGAAGGCTGAGAGGCAAACACTTCATGGTTGGTCAGGGTTTTGGTTTGTTGGGGTGTTTTTTCTTTTTTTTTACAGGGTTTGTTGATGATATCATCCAGCCTTCGACCACCCGCAGGCGCATCTGCCATGACCTCGATGTGCTGGCTAGTAAAACACAGTCCAGTCCCTGGAAGAAACATGCTAATATCCCGCTGTGAGTGTGAGGAGGGGCTGGGCCATGCTGGAAGACATGGCGGTATTCTGAACATAAATATTCTGTTTAAGTTACTTTGCAATGGAAATGTTTCTTTTCATTTTGATTTTGCTAATGACTTACCAATAAATCATAGTACATCTCTCATTTAATTTGGGGTCTTACCAGTTTCATCTCTCTAAACCCTTTTTGGTGGGTTAATAATCAATGCAGCCTGCCGCAAGCGAGGTGTTACTAACTGGTCAAGGCCAAATGCTCCCTTGGCTCCTTCATTCCGTAGGCCCTGGAGGTGGCTCAGAGAGGCAGAGCCGCAGTGACCTCTCACGGCGGCGAAGTCAGATCCCAGTGGAGTTCAATTCTAAACCTGGGCCCACCTTTGGGGTCTGACTCTACTTCCTGCACCACAGACTCACGGAGAGAAAAATCCTGAGCTTGGATTTCAGTGCACTGGAATCCAGGCTTTGCTGATCTCAGACTAACCTGTTCTGTTCCTCTGCTAGACTGTCCCGAGTTGCAACTTTTACGTGCTGGCCGCAGCAACACTGGCTCTTGGGTCGGTACCAGTGGCCTCCAGGCTGTGGGCACTGGTGGTACAGAGAAGATGGAGCCAGCCTCCCCTTGATGGAGAAGAGAGAGTGTGCCCAAATTGGAAAATGGGCAATTCTGGTGGGACATAAAAATTCTTCTTCCTGAGCGTGGGGGACTTTTCTCCCTCAGCAGAGGGTAGAGGCCTCCAGAGGCCCCAGCCAGCCTAATTTTTTTCTATGATTATTTGCCAGACTTGCAAGGAACCACTGCAGTAGATGTTACTACTGATCAGCCCTGGGCCCTGTGCTCACTCTGCTCATTAGAAGCTGCAGTTTAACTCCAGCCCCAGAAGGCAGTGAGTAACGGCTACCCTCGTGGTTAGCACTACTGCAAACAGCTGCCGAGCACGTCAAGTCCTGTAATGACCTGTCTGTTGTAAGTAACCTCAGTAATGAACAGCACTATATTGTAAGACAGAGAACTACCCTACCTGCACACTGCAGCTGCTTCTCTTCACTCTCCAAGCACATGCCTGAAGCGGAAGATAGATAAGATGGTGACTTTCCAGGTCGCACCTCTTCCCAGGTGGGTGCAGCCGGTGCCATAGTGAGTACAGCCATGGAGCCTGGAGCCTGTACCTGGGGGCAGGGGGGGAAACAAAAAGGCCACAGCTAAAAATCATCTGAAAGTGCAGTACAGAAGGAGCCTTTCAAGTATGAGTCCCAGCTCCATAGGTTTTTGCAATAGCTAGAGGCAACACGTTCAGGTTACAGATACACTGTCTGTCCTGGCTGCAACCACCCTGAAGTGAGCTGCGTGAACATACCTGGTTGTATCTCAGCAGAATCGCGCTCTCTGAGCGGGTGCCTGTACCTCCTGCCCCAGGGAACGGAGCTGGCTGCAACAAGAAGGGAAGGTAAACTGAAACGTTATTATGTTGGGGGTCATTGCCAGGAAGTGAGTTCTTAGTTAATTGTGAGAAAAGGTGTAGTCAGAGTCTGTACGGACCGAGAGGATTTTCCAAAGGTAATTAGTAGCTGAGAGAGGGGTTAGTGGCTGTCCCAAGTTGAGAGGCAAAAGCTGCATTAAGTGAAGCGATATGCACACAGTTTCTTCAGCCTGCCCGGAGTCAGGAGGAGACACTAAATGAGAAACCCAATCGTTATTGTCACAGAGAAAAAAGTACAACCTTTCTTAATTGTTTCCTCACCTCATTCGTTCTATAGACTTCATCCTCTCTTCTGTCCCTTGCCAGCAGAATTTGGCTTTTATGGCCTCTTGATTTCCAAGCAGTCAGTTGTTCTACCAGTACCACGCTTTGGAAACACACTGGAAAGCTGCTCTGGCCACACTACTTGAGAGTGTCTTGAATACCAATCGCCTGCAGAAACAATAGATATAAAATAAAATCCTTTCAACAGAAAGCAGCCCTTGAACTTAGAAACATGACAAGTTACTTACGGTGTTCCACAGTGCATCAGGAGTTGCGCATTACTTGGAGGCAGCTGGAGATTTAGCGTTTGGGCTGCGTTTCGGGAGTTGTCCCAGAGTGCAGTTCAGGCCTTGAATCCTATCCCGGTTCCTCACGTGCTTTTTCTGACTCAGGTGATTTTTCTTTAGGAAGTAGGCCAGATGAGAAGTCAGTTCTGTTGTAGCACTACAGAGATGAAGTCATTCATGGGTAGGATAAAAATAGCACCTTTCTCTCTGAGACATGGGAATAACGGGAAGCTGTTTCCTTTCAGGAATTTGTAAAACTTCATTTAGCCCAGCTGGTTTTTAGACCTTCCAAGCCTTTACTACTTCCATTTCTTCCCACGTGGTCCAGTTCACTTCAGATGTACAGGGCAGGAGAGTGAAATTTTTCTTAAAATTTGTGACAGTTCAAACAATTACAAGTTTTAACAATGCAAACTTGTGTGATGACTTACCAGATTTACAGCAGTCTCGCAATAATCCGCCCCCCCGCCCCCAGATCAACCAAAAACCAAAAATACACCACAGTGGAGAGGGGGTGCGGGGGTGGGAAAAGACAGACCAGGCCGGGTTTTGCTTTGCTCTGGGGCTGGGTGGGAAAGGCAGCTGTAGGGAATCTGGTTGTGAAGCCTGGACTACGCGAGAACTACCTTTCAGTATTTCCTTGGGCTACTAATAAATGGGATGACAAGATGTGATGGTCCAAACGAGCATTTAAAAAGAAAGTTATAGTGAAGAGGGTGCTCATCATACTCATGATTTTGAATAGTTTATTAAATGAAAGGTGAAGCATCAGTTTTAAATTGTACAAAAGGAAAAAAAAAAAAACCTCATATTGTAAATGTACAATTTACAGAATTACTAGCAAAACCAATCAAGGAGACACTCATAATACAAAAACCTATTGACTGCAAACTGAACTGGAAACCCATTGCAGGTACCGTGATAATAAATGTTTGTTATACAGTATTCTACAATGTTACATTAGGAATCAGTTTTCCACACAGAGGACTGTGAAGCACAAGGTTCGTCTGAGACTATGACTCAAACCAGGCAGCATTTATTATGCTACTATGCTCACAGAATTATTGTGATGACAGTTTAATGCAGCCATTCCTGCCCACCCCTATTACTGCTGGGGTGGACGGAAGAGGAAGGGAGGTAATGTTATTTTTACAAAGTTCCAGCTACTTCTCAGGTTTTATACATTACCTGACCGACCTCTGAGGAATGGCTGAATTACCTAGTCAAACATTTTTGGCAACCATGTCTGAGAACTGCACATGTTGTAAGAACCAAACCTCAGCTGAGTGAAATGCTGGTTTGTTTTAAAAATTAGATTCTTTTCCCTCCCAGCAAGTAAGCACTGGGCTTTAACGTTGTTTTGTTTTTCAGTAAGCTTGTAACAGAAAAAAAAGCTCCGTGATTATTTTGCAGTTGCTAAAAAAAGCACCTCTAAAACTGCTGTGCTCTGAGTGGGTCAACCTGCTTTGTATCTCAAATGCTAGTATTAGAATGCAGAAAGGAAGATTAACATTTTTGGGGCTGATTCTGAGAGATACCGGAGTCAGTGCAAGTTGTGGATGGCCAGCACCTCTGATACCAGGCCAGTTTTAACTAAGTAGCAGCTACTAGGCAGAGTCATAAAATCGAAGCATAATGAAATTCCAAATTATTGAAGACATTGAAAGATCTCTTATTACAATGAATTAGCTGAGAATGTTTTGGGGGTTTTGGTTTTTTTTTGATGTTTTTAACTTTTTTGAAAAATCCTATTTTTTTTTTCCCAAAGAATTACTCTTAATATGCACAGTTAACACTGAAAATGTAGCTGTATTCCATTGTAAGCTTAAGAACTTCACCATCTAAGCACAAATTTCTATGCAGCACATACAGTACTTCTAACTGGCAAAATTAATTTACAAAAATAGCGCAAAAGGATATTTACGGCATGGAAAGTAGACTTTTTTTTTATGGTACAGTTAAAATTGCTTTTAGTATGCTAAAGTGATTCCTTTCCCCCACCCTTGAATTACTTTTTTTTTTTTAATAGGAAAGTTGCTGTTTATGTACCTTGGGTTGGCAGGGCTTGAAGTAGGTAGTAAAAACAGCAAAGTGATTACTTGAGAACCATTTGTGTGTTTTACTGAGAATACTTTATTTGCTGGTATAAGTTGCTAAAAATGCACAGAGCAAGTACCAATAGAAAATTTACTGTTTTTGTGTCCCCATGTGCTATATAAAATGAATGTTACACAGCATCTGTTGGAAAAGTGGCTTCACGGACATCTCTTACTTTATGTCCCATTATAAATAAAAATAAATCTTCTCAAGAGTATAAAATCTGGGTTTATCATATCAGAATCTGAAATTTTTTGGCAGAGATGCACGTCATTAGAATTCTAACCTCTTCTATAAGAGTGTTCTTCTCAATGCCTATGAGAGGATATAAGCGTACCATAATGTTAATCAAATCCAGTGTGTTCAAAAACACTTTTCTGTAGCCAGAACGACCTGCTTATAGCATCATTGCTAGTCAATGGCTGATAGGCATAGGTTTAATAAAAATGGCTAGCTTTTAAAACATAAAAAGGCAAATGTTAAAACTGTTTTAAATTGTACAGCAGAAAAATAAAGTTAAAAAGTTCTGTTTTCACTCAATGTTGTTTTCAGAAAACATATGTAGAACAGTGTTTATTTCAACAGCTGTCTTAACAATTTAAAACTTCCTCCTCATCCAGGGGGGGGAAAAAAAAAAATTATCTGTATTAGGACAGTCAAGAACAGGGATACAAATGATTTTTTAGGTCAGCCCTTCTGAGGTGACTGGATTGGCCAACATTCCTGTGTGTCATTAAGAAGTTCCTCTTCTTTCTGTCACTACAAAAAGGGACTGACCTTAATCATTTGGTTAAAAATCAAACCGTATCACATCAAAAATGTGGTTTTCATACAAGCTATCACAGTATATAGGCCTCTAGCTCTAAACAATAGAGTTCCAAATTTGTAAAATGTCTTCACCAGACTTCAGAACATAGGCATCCCAAATCCCTAGAAAAATGATTTAAAAGACAGAAATTAATTAGGTGTAATGATCATCAAAAAGAACCTCAGACAAAGAGCAAACAATACTAGTGAAGCCTTACTGAATCATCCTCAATGATAGCTGCGGAGTCAAAGAAGTCTGGCCTCAGTTCAGCCCGTTCTCGCCGGTTTCTTGAAGGTGGCTGAAAAGAGGAGTCAGCCATTTTAGAACATCACGTCAGGTACCGGGGTGTAAGGGATTGGTGTGGCTCTACAGGTAATGGGTGCTAACGCCGTTACCTGGTCCTTGTCATAAAAGCTCTGATACAAATGTAAGCCCTGACATAGGAGAGAACTTCGTAAATTCACATTTTACTTGAGGAACAGGGTAAAAGCTGATGGATTCTCAAGTAATTTTAATTCTGTGCTCATAGCTAAGGACTTGCTTAAGGCTCTTGCTGACTTAATGATGTTCTTGTACTAGGACCGTAGGCCAGACTGCATAAACACTGTCTTTTAATGGTCTTTATGCGTTTGAGCTTGTGGGGAAACTTCAGCTCTGACATGGTCAAAAAATGGATTTAGAAAAAAAAAGGTACTTAAGATGTCATAATATTTCTGAGGATTAAACCCTTTGTGTTCTGTCCTAGGAATGTCGGAGTAAATGTGAGCTTCACTGGCTTGATCAATTAATTCCTTCATTCCCTTGCTGTGCGTTACCAGTAGAAGAGAGATTTTACTTACTTGATAATCATTTGAATGCTAGTAATAACCTCAGTATTCAGCAGCAGCAACTGAACTATTGCCTATATTTTCTCTCCAAGACATTATAGCCCGGTCCTAAAGTAACCTATGCCCTGTTGTTTGGCTATGAAAGGAGAAATAGGAAGGCATACAAATGGTGAAGCGTATCACGCAAACTGATCCTTTTTCCCACTTTACAAGGAAAGCATTCGTTCTGAAGGGAGAGGCTAGCACAGCTCTAACCTCTACAAAGGAAATCCTGCCTGTACTCAGTACGTTACCGTGAAGGGACCTGAGGTTCCCATCTGATGACCGGAATCCATGCGGGAGCCAATTCCAGTGTAAGGTATCACCCACTACTGCCTGCTCTCCCTTCTGCTGTGCCAGCACAACTCTGCGTGTGGCTGTAAACTAACCGGACCTTGACTAAGGGTCCTCTGTCCACCCCACCTCCCAGAAATCAAACCAACCAGGAAACAGAAACAGCTTGGCTGGATCGGTTTGACTACAGTATGGCTGCAGAAAGAGCCAGATCAGCAAAAGAGTTAGCGATGGCTGTGACAATGGCACAGGGAAGGCAACAACACCTAGAATACCTTTAGAGGGTACCGTTTTCAAACTCTTCGTAATGTCAACTAACAACCGGCATCAAACGTTGTTACTGGATTTTTGAAAGTCCATCTGTACTTCCCGAGGCTGAGCAGGCAGCTTCGTGTAATACTCGATCGGCCGCGGTGAGCTGGTCTCACCTCTGTGCCGCACCAGTGCTGCTGCCCTTGGCTGACTGCGTGGCGAGCCGGAGCAGCCGCTTCTGCAGCGCACTGGTATGCCTGATACGCCATAAATCATAACCGGATTCTCACTGGTTGACAAGTCCCAGGTGCATGATGGTGCTTCAGGCACTTGCTAGTGCCTGAGTCCAGAATATTGGAGCAGAAGAGTGCTAAGCAACGCTCCTTGTGGTAATACGAAAAAAAAAAATCAGTTGGGCCCGAGTCTGCAGTTGTAGGTTCTAGGGAACATTCAGATCATTTCCCCTCTTTCGTGTTCAGACAACAGGAAATCAGGCTCAAAATTTTGGAAGTTTTTGTTTGCGCTTCTAAAATTCCTTTTAAATTATCTTTCATCCATTTTAAACTTGCTATTAATAAGATTTACTGACCAGATCAATGACCATTGTGTCCTCAAATTCTTCATTCATATCCTCTAGCTGACCTCGTGAGGACATCATTACATCTTCAAAGATGGGCTCAGCATCATCTTCCATTAGACCTCGTCTGATTAAATAAAGAGAAAGAAAAAGTCATTTCCAGGCATTTAAATTTCCCAACCATGATCTTTGTCATTAAAAAGAATGCAGAAATCCTATCCCTTAATGCCTTTGCAGAAAACCTTATGCTGCGAATAAAGCCAGCATGCTTTCTGTAACATTAACTGGAAGAAAATCTTACGTAAAAACAAACCTAGCACTTGCAGAGGCTAAAGTTGCAGGAAGTCTCGTGTAATATTATTATAAACAGTAATTAAATTTGTCTCTAACAAGAAAAGGGCAATAACCTCACTGTGTTTGCTTGCCGTTTTCCAAAGAGGAGTTACACTCTTTGCCAGGATCACTGGCAGATCCCTGGCAATCCAGCAGGGAAGCCAAGACCAGTTAGTAACGCTGTAAGGACTTAATCTCAGTAGAGACTCTGGCCCCCATCCTGAAACACTTGGGTGGATTGGCACGAGAGCACGTAGCACCTCGTACAACGGAACGCTTCAGCATTCATCCGCGTGCGTTCCCTCCATTAGATGCTCAGCGGGACGCCTTGGCAAAAAGATGATGTGGATGAAAGAAGTGTCAACAGGTTCATGGGAAGACTGGATGACACCTTGGAATAGTTCATGGGGAATTACTTCACAGACAAATCATGGAAATCCCCTGAAATGGAAACAGTTGAAGGCTGGGCGGGAGTTAACAGGGAGCTGTGTCGTGTCTGCCTGTCCTGTTCACAAGGTACCTGCTTACGGCCACACTCAGAGGCAGAACGCTGGGCTAGAGGGCCACACGGCCTGGTGTCCGTTCCAACACCACAAAGCTGTTCCTCTGCCTTCGTTAATAAGAGTTAAAATGTCACAGAAATTACTGGCAACAACCCAGAAAAGGTAACACGTGAAATGCGGCATTGTCACCTAAAATGGTTCTGATCTGGAGATGAGGATGCTCTGAACACTTACACTGCATGCCTTACACCAGTTCTCCCTTTCATGTAGTTCATTCCTGTCCTGTCCTTTCGATTTAAATCTTCTAGCTTCTGTTGGCCCAACCAAGATATCTGCATCTGGGGACTAACAAACATAAAGCAGCATTATGACTGAGAACGCTACCAATTTTGAGTTGGCTGTTTTTAGACAATATCTGTCTCCTCAAGTTTTGTGTCTGGCCGTGCTTCAGATTTAAGATATTTAAATCACATCCATCATTGTACACGTCTTCCGGATTCCCTTCCACAACTTGTCTCCTCTCACTGTATGTGCACAAAAAAAAAAAATCCATTAATTGTTGTAATAAAAACAGCTACATAAAATGCTAAGATTACTCATTCCTTAGTGTGATGTGCACCTGAAATGGGAGCACTTCTAACATTCATTTTATTAAATCCTACTTCAGTGTCTCAGATCAGGCAAAATATGAGCAAGAATAGATCCAGATTAATAACTGATGCACATTTTAAAACAAAAATGTCACACAACGTGAAAACCAAATTGCTTTTAAATATAGACCCTGATGAACTTAAGCGTCCAGTAACTTACCCACATGTAAATACCTTAAAGGCTGTATTTTTAATACCATCTAAATCCAGCAGTAGACAGCAACGCATTTGATATGATTTGTATATTGCAGCACAAGGAAATAGTAGTAAACCAAGTGCAGCTCTTCAAGAGCAACACCAGTTTTTATTTATTTTACTGTGCAGTCTTGTACCCTAATACGACTGACTTAATAAAGTGGGATAACCCATGTGAAAACAACCTAGAACAGAATATTCTTCTAGAGGTGATTAACCCTGAGGGGGGGTTTCTCCCACAGCTTCAGGCAGGGCCGGCTCATCAGGCTCCGGAGTAAAACCCAGTGACAGGAAGCTGTCCCGCTTCCCATAACTAATTACATGTTCACAGACAGGGATTTAGCTCAGCGATAGGTGAGATCAGAGAGGGTCAGAAAGTTCTGCCTCAGCAATTTTCTTTGTTTTGTTTTCACTGCAGAGTAGAAAAATTTTAAGGAGAAACCGAGAGTCACAACATTTTCCTTATAATCTAGAAGTTACGGCAACATCTGGGGAGGCAGGAGATTGGGAGGCAAATCCTTGACCTCCGAAAGGCAAGTAAGAGACATACACCCACACCTCACATGTGGTGGGATTAAGGTGAAAAGGTGCTCGGGGACTGCCATGAACAGGGGCTCTTACTCGGCTGTGCTCTCTTTGTGCCCAGCTGGGATTACCGGCCAGTCTGAGCTGTGGGGGTGAGGAAATCCAGGCCCAGGCCTGCCGTGCCTTCACCTGTTTACACACCAGCCCTTCTCCCTTGAGGCAGCACCAGCCGGGAACTCTTAGGCCCATGTTAGGCCTTTGCGCAGGAGCACACGGATCCGTGGCTGCAGCGTGAGCCAGCCCAGCCAGCCTGCCGCCCTGTCTCTCACACAGTCTTACGCTGATCTTACATGCTTAATATGGGACAGGAAAGTTGGCTGAACTTATTTATGGAAATGCCGAATATGATGTGCTCCAAAAACTAACAGGTATTTGTAGCCAGCTGAGCTGCAAGTATCTCTTGTGGTGGGCAGTGATTGACAGATCGTATCAAGGTTTAATCTGTTGCACTGCTGACGCCTGTGCACGTTACACACAGAACCAAGGGAGAAGAACAGGTTATCGTGCAAAAGAGTACATTTCTTTAGAAGTCGCTCAGATTTTTTGAGAACCTATGGTCACAAATTGGTAAACTTTTGATAGCTTGAATGTACAACATGGTGGTATACGTATACCCTTGTCATTTGAGACTGGAGAGCATCGTACCTTCCCAGGCAAAATGACCATCATTAATTATTTCTATTTAGAAAATACTACAGTTAAAGAATACAGGATGAAGCAGTAAAGCTTAGGATCAAGCAGGGTGAGTGCATGTTCTGGAAGAACTGGGAAGCTGGGGAACATGTATCAGGAAAACCATGATGGATAAAAGCTGGAGGAAAACCAAGAGGCATAACCTAGCTGTTTTATACTATACTGCATTGGTAAAAACCCATTTCATCTGGCCAGCATAATACGACTTTTTTATACAGATAAATCAGATCAGTACATTTGGCTATAAAAGTTATAAAAATAGTCTCCAAAACAGATATTCTGTATCTTCAAATTAATAGAAATAGCACCTAATAGCATTCTCTGAAGGCTTTGCTAGTCTTAAATAATCTACTGACGGATAATAACCAACGTTTTTTCCCCTCTAAATGGAGGTGATAAAATAGGAGTTGAGTGACAAAAAGTATGTATAATTTAGGGGAAAAATAAAATTGCGTGCAGGCAATTACCCCAGAAACAGGAGTTACCAGCTCAGCAGCTAGAATTGGATTGAAGAGTTAATTTACAAGAAATGAGTTAGGATGTCTGGAGAACCTTAAGTGTACTATGACACAGGGCAGAGGGAAAGGAAAGAGAACACCTAACAGAGAAAGAGTTCAATCCAACCTGGGGGCACAAGCACTAGGAAGATTTAGCCATAAGCGCGTGGTTATGCTATGAGATAATTTTAACATAAGGAATTTCTACCATGATTTGATTACAACATATTTTTCCTGGGAACTGAAAATAATCTAAGTATTGCTGAGCTATAGCCAAGACACTTCCCATTGTTTTTGCAAGTAAACACTGCATACATGGAGCCACAGACTATCTGTATAAATAATATGCAACTCCTTTGCCTGGCTCACTGTATTTGATATTGAAATTCCAACACTTACTTGTGTAAAAAATCTTGTTCAGATCCCTGCTCCGACTCGTGCTCCTGGATCTGCTCTCCCATTTGTCTCGTGTTCTCTCTCAAGACAGTTGAGGTGAGCTGTGGTGCTTGCAGTGTCCCTGGGGTATGGATGTTTTCATTCCTGTTCAGCCACGAGCCTTCTAGACTCTCATCTAGAAAAAGAACATTTACAATTACTGATGCATTTCTGATGACGTGCAGTGCAGTATTCACGGCTTCAGGATTCGTTCAGCCCACTCACTGAATGAATACCTTACATTAGTAATGAGAGCCTTCCATCTGCTGACACAATTAAATTAAATTAAATTAAATCCGTTTCATTTTAGTTGCAGCACCTTCTCCAAATTTGTATTTTCAACAGTTTAGTATCTTTTAAAACAGGCATGTCTTTAAGAGATCAACTGGATAAATGCTTGAAAGGACGAATTTTTACAGCTCTGATTTTGTGTTCTTTTAAAGAAGGATTGCTACCAGCTCTTCCTAGCACTAACAATTTAAAGTAGAAATACTTCACAAAAACAAAAATCATTGCCACCAAATATCGAATTGCAGCACTACCTAAACTGCTGGGTATCTTGCACACATATAACAAAGATAATTCCCAATTACTGAGTTTACAAGCTAAGTATAAGACTGTTAATTTCATATGCATCCAGCAACCAAGAGAGACTTAAACACGAAGACGAGGGTGGAGCACCAGCCCCACAAGCTGGTCAGCATAGGTCTTGAGGCACTTCAGTAAGAACCATTTCGGTGGAGTCCAGAGGGGGCATTTTAAAGAAGAGAAGCGGTCTGGCGGGTGTGAACTCTACATAGTGACTTCAGACAGCGTACAGAGAGTTGGGAGCAATGGCAGGAATGGAGGTGGGAAGGTGACTGAAGGCCTAAGCGGGATGCTGTGCTCATGTTGTGACGGAGCAAACCAGAGAGGAAGGAAGAGGGGGAACGTGAGGAGACTGTGATAGAGCAGGCAAGTGCGTATGGAGGACAGATGTAGAAAAAAACCTAAGTTGCTGGAGTGAGTGAAAGACAGGGGGGATGACGAGGAGAAGACAAGATCACAGATTTACTAACAGGAAGAAATGTGTGGTGAGAAAGTAGATGGGGATCTCAATGGATCGTTTCATTTTTCCTATGCCTTCTGTTACCCTTTGGGCACAAATGTAATCCAAAAAGTTGCCTATTTATTCTTGAATTTACCTTTGAACCTTTTTTATGTTAGGGATTTTTTTTTTTAAATCCTATTTATGTTTCATTTCCTTAAGGCATTGTGAAGAAACATCACAGAGCAGAATTACTTTCAGTAGCAACAGGGAATGCTCTCCAACCCAGACAGC